GTGTGTGCACACGCGTTCGTGCAAGCACGCTTGCATCTGTGTGTTTACTGTGTATGCCTTGTATGCCTGGCAAGAATCTGCAAAAGTTGCATGGTGGAAAATGTGAAGAAAATGGAGGAAGGGCTTTACCTTCTCTTGCCAGCAAAATTGTAACTGAGTTAGGTTTAAGATTTTGCAATATGGTTTCAAGAAGACATTCTCAAGGGCCTCTGCTGAATAATGTAAATTCAGATGCCGCTTCAATATGACCTTTTTTTTTCTTCAATAAATGAGAAAAAGAGGAATAGATACTCTTTTCTGTTGGTTTAAGAAGTCAGCTTGATCTGAAGCCACCTCGTTTACATTAAATAGTGGAACCTGGGTTGTTTAATAGAGTGTGGAACGGTGCAGATGGTAGAATTCCAGAAAATTTTTGCTCTCACTGCTGATCGGTCTAGTTAGACTTCCTAGAGAAACATCAGGTGGTTTATTTTTGACATACTGCCTTTAAAGAATCTCTCTTTTTTTCACTTTGTTGTCCTAGCTCCAAGAGATCAGCCTCATTGCAATATGTGCTCTCTAACCTGTCTTCTATACCTTTAAGATTAAGATACCTGAAGAAATAAATCTCTAAAAGTCTTAACTCAGTGCTGCCATGGCTTCAGATTTTGTTTAACATAGAGCCATCTGTGTGGCCCACCCATAATGCCGGCTCTGAGTTAATGGGAGACTTGCAAAGGGTAGATTAGACTCTTCAGGGGGATTGTGGTAGTTCACACGTTGGACATCCAGAATTTCAACTATTTGTAGAAAGCTTGTTTTTTTTGTTATGCCTGATGAGCAAGATGCCCAGTGTTTACACAAGCAATTCAAGCACCTGTAAAAATGTTTACATCCTGGAACAAAGTATTGCCTCCAAAATACAAAAAGGGAACGATAAAATTTAAATGAATAATAATCTCAAAATCAAAATGTACATAATCTTTGTGCAAGTGGATTTTATTTTTTAAAAATTAGTGCTAATCCCAGTTACTCAGGAGGCTAAGGCAGGAGAATCGCTTGAACCCGGGAGGTGAAGGTTGCAGTGAGCCAAGATCGCGCCACTGCGCTCCAGCCTGGGCGACAGAGCAAAATTCTAACTCAAAAAACAAAAACAAAAACAAAAAACGATAATAATAATAATAATAATGAGCTATGTGGATATGTCCAAGTTCAGATTTCCAGAAGCTAGCCTTGATACGAGAACTGGTATGCAAGTTACTTAATAAAGAAGTATGCTGGCTGGGGGTGGTGGCTCACTCCAGTAATCCTAGCACTTTGAGAGGCCGAGGAGGGCAGATGACTTGAGGTCAGAAGTCCAAGACCAGCCTGGCCACCATGGTGAAACCCCATCTCTACTAAAATTAAAAAAATTAGCCGGGCGTGTTGGCACACACCTGTAATCCCAGCTACGGGAGGCTGAGACAGGAGAATCGCTTGAACTCAGGAGGCAGAGGTTGCAGTGAGCCGAGATTGCACCCCTGCACTCCAGCCCGGGCGACAGGGCGAGACCCCGTCGCAAAAAACAAAAGCAAAACAACAACAACAACAACAAAACCACCCAAAGAAGTATGCGGATAACTCCGTAAGGCAGTGGGTGAAGCAGGTGAGGGAAACCAAGCAAGGGTGTGGTTTCAGATACAGTCCTGCAGAGGCTGACTCTGGAGTGTGAGTTGGGCTTCAGAGTTGGCCCCACCCAAAGCAAAAGAGCTGGATTCCATCCATCCCTCTCAACTCGGTGCAGCTATGAACGCTTTGTCAAGGGTCCTCCCTGGGGGAGGAGAGGAACTAAATTCCAAGGCACGGCAGTGTTTCTGGGGAAGAGCCACAAGCGTAGGATTTTTAGCAGCCACATTGGCAAGAGGAGAATCTTCCGGGCTCCTGTGAGAGGACCTAGCATTGTCCTCTAAAGACTGCTCCCGGGTGGCTGAGGCAGGAGAATCGCTTGAACCCAGGAGAAGGAGGTTGCAGTGAGCTGAGATCGCGCCGTTGCACTCCAGCCTGGGTGACAAGAGCGAAACTCCGTCTTAAAAAACAAAAAGTCTGTTCTTGATGGTCATTCCTTGCAACGCGTTAGGGCACGCTCCTAATCCATAATTCCAGCCACTGGATAGAGACACAGCAGCACAGCTAATGCCCCAACTCCAGTCACTCCTGATTGGTCCCATAGCCATTCCTTTGGAGTTCCGCTGTCTGTGTCTTCCCTGCCTCAAAGCTTGGCTCTGTTCATTGGTAAAATGATGACTTTACCTCCTATGAATGCAAATTGTTTTCATCCATAAGATGTAAATAAGAATAGTTGCCTTACAGGATTATAAGAGGATTAAATTAGATGCTTCAGTAAAGTAATCTGCATATAGTAAATATTCGAGGAGTATTAAATTCCTTCTGTCTTGTCAAAGATTTTAAGGGAACTAAAAATTGCATACCTGCCTTAAGGAGTTCTTTTTTATTATCGCTCGAAATAAGATACTGTTTCTTGGTTTTAGTTGGATCTCTCTTACCATAAGTTAATGTTGTTTCTCCTCTTCCTCCTCCTCCTCCGCCTCCTCTTTCTTCTTCCTCTTCCTTCTCCTCCTCTCTCCCTTTCCTCTTTCTCTACTCATTCCAATTTTTCTCCTTCTACTCCTTTTCCTTCTTTGGTTTTATAATTCTTCTTCATCATCTTTGTCTTCTTGTAATTCTAATTTTTTCTAATTCCAATTCTTCTTCTTCAATTTCTCTGCCTCCTCCTATTCCTGCTCCTTCTCCCCTTTTTTTTCTGTAGATACATGCAAACATTTTCCATAGCCTTTAAGAGAAACTTAGCTGCGTTGCAGCCTGTCTGGAAATTCCTTAAGTGTAGCCAGACGGATCTCCCACATGACTGCATTCATCACACATAGCAGGCAACTGGGAAGTGTTGAGTCTGGAGGAGGAGGAAAGTGGTTGGATTGAGATCCCTCTTTGCCAAGTGCCAGCCTGTTTGACTCTCATGAACATTTCTGAATGTCAACCTCTCCATCTGTAACATTTTAACAATGATGACAACCAACATTGTAGAGCTGTTGCAACGTAAGGGAGATATATGGAAAATTGGCTGGCTTACCATGTGACATTGATTAATAAACAATGGATCATGGAAGGAATTACACTTGTGCCACCAGTGTGTAGGGAACACCTGTTATATGCCAGGCAATTTGCCAAGTACTGGCTGTATCAAGAAAGCCATCTTCGCCTGTAATCCCAGCACTTTGGGAGGCCAAGGTGGGCAGATCACCTGAGGTCAGGAGTTCGAGACCAGCCTGACCAACATGGAGAATCCCCGTCTCTAATAAAAATACAAAAATTAGCCGGGCATGGTGGTGCATGTCTGTAATCCCAGCTACGCGGGGGAGGCTGAGGAAGGAGAATCACTTGAACCCAGGAGGCAGAGGTTGTGGTGAGCTGAGATCACGCCATTGCACAGCAGCCTGCGCTCCAGCCTGGGCAACAAGAGTGAAACTCAGTTTCAAAAAAAAAAAAAAAAAAAAGCCATCTTCTCTGATGAGCCTTTTACATCTTTATGAAGAAAATGTTTTCAGTGTAGCCTCAAAATTATCTGGTACATTTGTTTTCTACCAGAGAGTGATGAGATAACCTGAAAGTTTTTGGATCTTAAACCAGAGCCACCAAAATATATATTCTCTTTCCTTTTGGGGGACCCGAAATAGATTTGTGTCATTATGTCATTTTTTAAAATTATACTTTAAGTTCTAGGGTACATGTGCACAACGTGCAGGTTTGTTACATATGTATACATGTGCCATGTTGGTGTGCTGCACCCATTAACTCGTCATTTACATTAGATATATCTCCTTATTAGACACAAAATCAGCCTCTTGACACACTCACCCTTTTCTTTTTATAACACATCTAGACATCTTTGATCCATAGACAACATCTTGGTCATAATATTTTCCTGCTTATGTTTTCAGAACAACTATTCTAGACAACTTATTTTCTTTTACGGTATTTTTGAACATTCAGAACGAGTTTTGAACATTCAGAACATTCAGAAGAAATACTCACATTTCTTCTCTTGCTTCTGGTGACCTAGATCTTGCCCTCAACTGGAAAGCTGTCATGCCCTGTGTTTCTATTTTGAAATATGTACCTTGTTTACTGGATCATATTTGTCAGAGAAAGTGTATCAGCACAAACATTTCAAAATCTGCACTCATTATTCTGTAGAACTGAGATAACTTTTGTCTGGTTCATTCATTTGTTGATGACTCAAACTAATTTATTGGCAAATATTATTTGAATGAGTTTCCTACTAGTCTCTCTTAAAGAATATTAACAATAATGATATGCAAAAGTCAACATTCTTTATTACTCGAACAAACTGAATTTCTCAACCCACTTGACAGTTTAAAATTGCCATTAGGAAGAATTTGACTTTCAAGAAGAATTAAATGGCGTTTATTGTGGTGACTGATTATCAGCATAAGAACCATGCATTTTTCTGCTACAGTAGAGGAAATAATTTAATTAGTCTGTTATTGTAAATGTTCTGATTTTAATATATTAACTTGTGGCCTGCGGCTGATAGAAAAGAAATTAACACTGACTCTTTTTGACTGTTGAATGAATTGGACTTTCCAGGGCAAGAAAATTAATTATAAATGCTCTCTATTTAAGATTGCCAGATTTTTTATGATAAATGATGTAATTATGAGATGTCAAGTATACAAATAGTCATGCATCGACATTTCAGCTTATTAATTCCAACATTCACCATTACGTATGACATATTCATCACATTTAATTGCTCGGTAGAGGGGAGGCAAAATCATTGTTCTCCTCATTTTCCTTGTGATTTTCAGGCAGTACATTTCAGAAGACGTTGAATGCTAATGTATTAAATTTCTGATGACAGCCTCATGTTGCATTTTGAGCTAAGACCAAAATAAATAAAATTCAGGGTAAAGTAGGATAAGGCAACAGAAGGAGGAACAAACCTTTACAAAATGGCAAGTTGGGTGAAGTTTGCCTTCAGCTCCCTCTCATCTCTGTTTCCCTTCCTCTCTTCTACCCATTCTGGGGTATGTGAATGAGTCTTCGGTGCCTTGACGGCGAATTCTAGGGTCTCAGGAGCTTCTGCCTTTCCCAGAAATGCTCTTCTTCTCTCATTGATCAGTGTCCCTGTTCATTCTGTTACAGCATGAATACAATTGAATGGCATCAGAAGAATTCAGGGCCACTCACCCGTGGCCACAATTGTAAGAGTCACAGCTGATAAAGTACATAATCTTAAAAATCCTGCAATACCTTTAAATAAGTTTGTATTTTGTTCATCCCATCTGTGATGTTCAGTTTTACAAGTCAATGCAGTTAGGCTACAGTTTCCAGTTATCCAATCAAACACCAATCTAGGTGCTGCTATTTTGGTATAGCAAAAGGTATTTTGTAGTTGTGGTTAAAGTCTGTAATCAGCTGACTTTAAGTAAGGGAGGTGATCCTGAACTATTTGCATGGACCGGTATAATCACAGGGGTCCTCATCAGAGGGAGGCAAATGGGTCAGAGTCAGAAAAAGAAGACATAATGATGGGGGCGGAGACTGAAGTGATGCCCTTTGTGAAAATAAATTCATCAAATTGAAGCTGTTGGAACGTTAAATTATTTTGAGGCTTGAAGGAATGTGATTGTGAGATCTGAGTCATGCAGCCAGCAGCTGTAACCTTTCCTTCACTGATGATAAATTAACCCTCTTCCTAAGTTTTCCTTGTTTTGTAAAATGTTGTGAAAGAGTAAATGACACCAGAGAGAAGACCTCTTCACTTTTAATTACTAACCTTTTATTATAGATTAACTGCCTTCTTTCTTTTCTTGCACACAACTCAGACCAGATGGTGCAAAAGATCCCATGGCTATCAAGTTGCTTAAAATAGAATTTTTTAAAATTAAATGTTTTTTTTTGTTTTTAGAGACAGGGTCTCATTCTGTAGCTCAGTGCAGAGATGTGATAATAGCTCACTGCAACCTTGAACTCCTAGGCTCAAGTAATCCTACTTCACCCTCTCGAGTAGCTGGGACTACAGGCACAAGCCACGATGTCTGACTTAACATGGACTGTTAAATATATCTTTCCTTAAAAGGAATAAGCTGTAACAAATCAAAATTACTGCAACTCATAACCCAGTCTTATGTGAAAGTGTTGTAATCATGGTAAACTTCTTTGTATTTGTCTAAATGAGTGTGAAACCCTGACCTCTCCACCTCTGAGTACTGACTCCATTCCTCTGGAGTTTGTATTTCCCAAGAGGACAAATTCAAACTTTGCTCTTGAATAAACTATTTAAAATTGGATTCTGATCCCTTTGATTATTTCACGTTAACATCTTTGATGGTGGAGGAAGGAGCCACCGGGCATGGAACACAGGTAGTCCCTAGGGGCTGGAAAGGCATGGAAAAGCAGATTCTTACCTGGAACCACCAGGAAGAACCAGCCCTGCCAAAGTTAGGTTTCAACTCATTGAGACCCATTTCAGACTTCTAACCCCCAGAATTGTAGAGTGGTAAATTTGTGTTGTTTTGAGCCACTAAGTATGTGGTAATTTGTTACTGCAGCAATAGAAAACTCATATACCATAGTATACCTGTGAAAATTATGCAAGTGTGTAAAATCTACTATTTATTCAATCTACAAAAACTGCTTTGATGCCTATATGCTTGCAAATCCTTCTTGCAATAACTCTGCTACACCTCTAGAGGCACAGTCCATAGGTTGATACCATTGACCGAAACAGACAAGTGTGGGTCAGGTAACACCTCCCATCAGTCCCTGCTGCACTTTCCCTTCTAGCCCTTGGTATAGTCTCACGATCCTTCTCCAGGCAGCCATGTCCAGGCTTGCAAGATGAAACCTATCAGCTTTCCCCATCAGACCTGTATCTTGTTTTCCCCCTTTTTGTTACCTGAGGCAGGCAGAATTCTAAGGTACATCCTAAGATTCCCAGCCCCTGGTATATATACCCTATGTAATACCCTCCACTTGAGGATAGGCAGTACCAGTAAATATGATGGATGCCACTCCAGTGATTCCATCCCTAATCAGCTTGCACTGAGTTAATCAAAAGGAAGATCATCTGGGTGGGACTGATCAAGGCAGCTGAGCCCTTAAAAGTGACAAGAAGTAGCAGCAGAAGCTGTTCTACTTAACGAAGAAAGCAAACAGCCATGTTGTAAACTGCCTATGGGGTCCACGTGGCAACAAACTTCAGGCAGCTACTAGCTGAACAAGGTCTTGGGAGAAGACCAGCAGGAAAGGAGAAAACTCAAACACACAGCTAAAGGAAATGCATACTGCCAACAACCCTGTGAGCTGAGAATGAAACTGTGAGCATGACTATAAGAAAGGGACACAGTTCAGCTGACACCTTGGTTTCAACCTGGTGAGAAGTGAACAGAGAGCCCAGGTAACCCATTCCCAGATGCCTGACTCATGGAAACTGTGAGACAGCAATTGGTGTTGCTGTAAGCCACTAACTTGGTGGTTATTTGTCATGCAGCAATAGCAAATAATACACCATCTTGCAAAAAGCATATACTTCAGTTTGCAACCATCAAATGCACAAAATTAATGTAAACTATGTTATTAATTGTTTATAGCCATACATGTGCTACAGAATAAGAGAAATGCTTTTCTAAAATGAAAAGAAGTTGTAGTCTGAGCAGAATGGGTGGTTGGAAGAGATGCTTCCCTTCAAAGTAACCTTCCCTTCCAATCCCCTCCCATAATTCCTACTTGCTCACTTAGAATGCTAGATCAGCTGAGGTAGCAAGGAGATATACCAGGCTTTCTAGATTACTGCTATTCATGCTGGCTTCCAAATCCTGTTGTTTCCACGACCTTGGGGGTCTTTGTCACTCACTGGACCTTGTGCACAACGGCAAATGGAACTTATGCCTTATCCTCCTAAATCGTAATCCTATTGCATATTTCCTCAATGTTTTTTTTTTTTTTTCCTCCTCACTCCAAAGCGTATACCAGATGGTAAATCCCAGGAAACATTTAGCAAGTTTGGCAAAAATTCTGTGAGCAAAACTATTTTGAAAGCTATATTTGAAGCAGAAAAAGTGGAGCAAAGGAGATAGAGATAGATTCAGTGCTTGGGGCTGATGAAATAGTGTTAAATGAAGCACAAAGAAAGCTTTACAGTTCTTTATTATTGTGTCTTGAATGTGTAGGTGAATAATCCTCAGAGTGGATATAGAGGAAAACATGAGTCAGAGGAAACTAAAGTCCACAGGAGTGAGCGTAAAGGAGTATTAGATTGCTTCAAAGAAATTACGCCTATGCTCAGACTGGGTCTATCGCAGCGTATCAGGAAGATTTGAAGACATGAACATAGACACACCCTCAGGAAACCAGAGGGAGGCCGGGCATGGTGGCTCACACTTGCAATCCCAACACTTTAGGAGGATGAGGCCGGAGAATTGTTTGAGCCCAAGAGTTCAATACCAGCCTGGGCAACATGGTAAGACTCTGTCACTACAGAAAATACCAAAGAAAAAAAAAAAAGAATGAATAGGTGAGTGAGATAGATAGGGGTGAAACTCTAGACTCAGGCAAACACTCCAGTTTTCCAAAAGGAGATGAAGAAGGTTATGCCTAAGAAACTACCTACTTTTTTACATCACACGAACTCCTGGTTGCATTTTAAATAAATAATGGAAATGTACTATCATGTCCTTAATTACTATGCTACCAGAAAGAAAGATCCTAGTAGAACCATCCACGTAGCCAAATATGCATCCATTCATTCAGAAATGACTTAGATAGCATATAAGTACTGTAAGTACTCATATAGCAATTACTACCAAAGGCAGGGACTATGATAGGCACCTATTAGATGATGGTAAATAAAACGGGATGCTTTGACATTTATCTCTCTCACAGAGCCTTCTAGTTAGGGTATGTGTGCAAAAGTTGTGAGCATTACTATTACGGAAAAGCAAGCAGGATAATTAGAAGATTTCAGATCGGAGATAAATTTCCTTGTCTGAGAACATTGTAGAAGGCTTCCTCAGGTGTTAGGAGGTCCTCCTTCTCTTTAGGATTCCTTAAAAGAACTGGTTTCCAAATGAGAATACTATATATATATATATATATATATATATATATATATATATATATTTTTTTTTTTTTTTTGGCGGCCAAGCCAGTACTTAATAATCTATAGAATTCATGCTTCTCTGGTGAAAGCTAGATTGGAGACATGGCCTAGGATGGTTGCCCAAGTGTGGCCCCCAAGCTCTCTCTCCTGAGTTGAATATGAGTTGGACCATTGAGCACTACTAACCTGCAGAACCCAGCCAAGCAGGCTAGATATGCTGGAAGAGGGAGCTCTGGGGCTGACAGGGATGTTCCTCCAAGCCCAGCTCTGGGCACTTCTCTAGGAGGCACTTCTGCTTCTCTTTCTGGCCTTTTTACAGAACCATGAAGAAAAAAAAAGGGAATGCGAAGAAAAGATAAAACAGAGCAAGCCTGCCCTTGGCACATATGGTCCCATGCTGCAGAAGGGCTCCCCTCCTCTCCCCTGCTCCATCTGTTGCACACTGCTCTATGTCTACATTCACTGGAGACTGCAGCTTTGGTAAGGCAATGAATGGGGCAGGGAGAATCCTGACAGATCATGCACATCTAGTATGGACCTGCATCTGGTGTGGGCCTCATTGATGGAAGTAAGGAGAGGGGTGTCAGAGACAAAAGCAGGCCCTTCACAGTGCAGACTGAGGACGTGTTATTTCATGTATTCCATCAATATATATATAAAAGTTATCTGGAGAAACAGAACCAATAATAGGTAGGTAGTTGGTAAGTAGACAGATGATAGGCAGGTAGATAGATAGGACACATGGATAGATAGATAAATGATGGATAGATAGATGACAGATACATAGATGACATATATATATGTGTATATATATATATTTTTAAAAATTGATTCATCCAGTTTGAGGGGATGATAAGTTGGAAATCTTCAGGGCAAGTTGGCAGTCTGGAGATTCAGGTAAGATTAGATGCTGCAGTCATGAGTTTGAAAATTAGAAACTGTGGAATTTCCCTGTTGCAGCAGAATGTCTTTTTCTTTGAGAGACCTCAGTCTTTGCTCTTAAGGCCTTCAACCAAATAAATAAGGT